CGAAGGATTTTCTTGCTCACATCTGATGAATGACGTCTTTATCAATTGCAGGGGGAAAGGCTAAAAGATAAAATCCTGCTTTAATCATACTCCCATTTATTGTGCATGTTGAAGTAATCCAATAATGCAGCGCTCTCGAACAAGGCGGAAATTATCATTATCTTTTAGGCGGCATTGATCTGGGATCCCCATGAGAGATGTTGCATGAAATAGTGGCAGAGGTGAATCAGTTACGTTGACGTATCGAAGGCTAAATGATCATCGAGGGACTTCAGCCATGTAGCATGATTAGGCTGTTTTTAGGCTATTGATTTTTCTTCTTTAACACTTGTTTCTCTAAATGCATGTTCATTTCACGTTTGATCTGCAACTGCAAACATTGCTTATATTACATTTAGAAGTAACTGGCCTTCGATGCAACCCATGGTTTAGTCGCTAACATTTAACCCAACCATAGAGGTGATGGCTGTGATCCGCTGCATCAGACTGACTGTTTCTCTCCACTAAAAGCGGCTGCCTATCTAGAACCAGCTACTACACTTTCCATTACCATCAAAGGCAGAATAACCTCCAATTAATGTAAGTGGAAATGTAAATTCAGAGTAGATCCATTTGGTCTGGTGATAAAACTCAGAGCAGTGAGTGGTTAGAAATTGCCATGGCCTAGTGTTATTCTGAGCATTCATCTTGTGCGGTTTAAACTTTGCATTCATCTTGTGCAAATTAAGCTTTAATTGCTATTGCATTTGACTACCAAGGCTTAAATAATCTTTGGAAAATATGCTCATTTGCTAAAGATGATATGTCATTTAAAATAGACAAATGGTTCTGCTTTACTTAGAGTTTGTAATATTATCAAAAAATCTGATTTTCAAATGACCACTAGTAGTAGTATTAAGTGAAAGTGTGCACTTCTCTGGTGAAAGTTCATACAGTGTTTGGGAGAATTGGGACATACTGTGACTTACTTACATTGCACTACTCAAATGAGTACTGAGTAATGTTAATTAACTATGTGCTTACTATAGAGTTACGGTTACGATTTGGTTAGGGTTAGTAACCTGCAATTATGCATAATTTACTGTTATCACTATAGTAAGTACATGTAGTAACTACGCCACCTTAAAGTAAAGTGTTGCCAATTGCATCTTGATACCAAAGTCTTACTGTTAATGCTTACTTGTTAGCATATTTCGAAATTCTTTCTTAACTTTTAGGTTTAAACCTTTAAAAACTGCTATGGGAGCTCCGGCCTTCTTCGCCACTCTTTACAGAAAATGCCAAAAGTGACCTATCATAGACGCACAGCGTTTGTGGGCAATATTAGCTGAAGTACATAATCCACACAACTTTGGCTTACTTCTATTAGTGCACTAATACATTTTATCTTGCATACTAAAGGATAGACATCATGTAAAATGGAAAACAACTATTGAAAATCAGTGACTTTTATGGCGATTTTAAGGTAAATCTCAAGGCAGATATGGGGGCACATTTCTATTTAACCCTCTGGGGACTAAGCCCTTTTTGGTCCGTTTTCTCTATTTTTACATTTGGGCTTATAAACCATATGTAATGGAGATGGAACACTATGTGTTTGGTATACATGGATTCAGAAGACCCTAAGCTAACATAAGCATGCATGTAATGTGTTTATAAAGGAAGTATGAGTGAAAAAAAATAAACTAGAGAATTTCCAAAACGGAAATTCGATTTTTGTCATTTATTTCTGAAAATCACACATCACACAACAATAGTGAACAGTTTTTTAACAAAAAATATATTTGTCAAAGCCTTTGCTTGACAGACATGTGTAATTGTTAAATAAAATGTGTAAAGAACAATGAAAAATGCAACTTTATTTACAAATAGTCCCAGGCGTTTTTCTTAGGAATGCTTAGAATTTTCTAAGCAATGCTTTCTCCTCGTTACTCTCCAGTAATTGTTCCAGAGCTTGTTCCACCGTAAATCGTTTACTGCTTGCCATCATAAAAGTGCTAAAACAATAAATAATGCTATAATTGTATGTACATATATATATATATATATATATATATATATATATATATATATATATATTATAATTGTTCTGTCTCTCTCTCATATTTCTCTGATAATCCGCTCCGTAAGCCTCCGTTCGCTCTCTCTCCTTCTCTCCATTCAACGCTGTTTGCGTCATATCCCTAACTATATAGTACCACCCCTTGCAAGGCTACAGAGTCCTCTGATTTGCTAGATACGTCATGGTAACCTTCCTCTGATTGGGTAAGAAAAATATTTCTCCATCGGCAATTTTTCCATTGGTTGTTGCTTGCGGAATCTGCCAAACAACATCGATTTCATTGGCCTTTTACATTGTGGTATTGCGCAACAAGGAAGTGTGTATATTTACAAGCCGGGTAAGTTATCACTGTTTTCAGCTGAATCTGAGGAAGACGGTAAAAAAGACTGCACCTCTCTATCATTAATAGTTTTTAAGATATTTACACATTTGTAAAAGTATGCCATTTTGGGTGGTACCGCCCAATCCGTCCCCAGAGGGTTAAATAACATGTCTTCCAAATAAGTAATAAAAACAACAATGATTGTTCTTTTTTTTAGCTCAAATCAGACACACAACACTTTTTTTTTCAGCTAATACAAAACTAAATCTACCTGTTAAAGTGGGATTGTTCGTGTCACTTCGACAGTACTGGTATTTTCTATAGGGAAGTCAAACTCCATCAGGCGAAACATTGGCCTTAGCTCCCGCTCTCAAGTAGGCCACACGTGGCCAAGGGACCAACGGCAGCCATTTTTCAAGAAGGCTTTCTGTTAGCATATGGAAGCCAGCACTGCAAGGATAGCCGAAGTAAACATGTTTATCTATACTGAGCTCCCGAGCGTTCCCCTCAAACTGGCCATCTTTAAACAGTTTGTATATCTGATAGAGGGGGAGAATGCGCTTCCAAGATGAGGCACTGCTCTGAACAACCACATTATGTTTGCAGCAGTGCTGGAAGTGATTACCAGTGTAGTTCATTATTCAGTTTTGTTGGAGGGGGGGAGAGCATGAATGCCCAAAGCATTTAGTGGTCAGAAAGGGGAGGCTTTTTTTCCTCTCTCATCAGTCTGTGAGTCTGTTCTGCAGTGTCAGCATTCAGCACACAAACACGGAATTCAGTAAAAGCTCTCTCCACTCTCCCAGAGCGTTTCCCCCCTTTTTTTTCCAACAGCCTGCTCCCTTCCCCCCTCGCGAACTGACATTCTAGAAGAAACATATGCTGCTAGTCCACATCACAACAGCTTGTGCTGCCTGAATGGAAGAAGGCACGGAGAGAGGAAGCTGTCGGAAGGGTGGGGGAAGGGGTACACGGAGAAGTCTTCAAGAATGCTCAAGAGATCTTGAAGGTGTTGCATGTTGGACCTATTGAGTGGTTCATGTGAAGTTGGGTGGAGAATATAAAATATTCAAGAGGAAATTACATTTTATGACCCCAGTTTATGGGGTGATTTGGAATAGGGGCCAAAGCTCAGGGCTGGTACATGGGAAGTTGCTGGTTCAAACCTTCTAAAGTCAACATGATATTAAAAATGGACTTTATTTACTTTGTTAATGCATGTTCCTATCCTGATCGTGCATGACTCATTAGAGCACGTTATTCCCAAGAACAAAATGTTTGTCTTTGTGAACTTTATCATATTGTAATAACTTGCTCTGCATCTGAAAACGACTTTCTTTTTCAGCTGACATCCCAAATCCATTTTACTTTTTGAACCCCTCACTCACCAACCTCCATTCAGGCTCCAATCATTTCCTGATGTACTGTATACACTCCCTCAAAAAAACAAAAAAAACAAAAAAACAACAACAACAACAAAAAGGTACAAAAGCAGTCACTGTGACGGTACTCTTTCAAAAAAGGTGCTAATATTTATAATTTAGGTACAAATATATACCGCCCTTTAGAGGTAAATAAAGTACAAAGGTGTATATTTTGGAAGGGTAACATTTGTACCATATTTTCCAAGAGTTTAAAATCAAATATCAGCCTACATTTTTCTTCTTGAAAATCACTCACACTTCTGATACAGTGGTAAAATGGTTGCGCAATGGTTTTTTAAAAAAGTGCACCATCACAAATGTGCCCTTGAGAAAGGGACAACAACATCTAAACCCAGCTGACTTCTACCCGACAGTCAAAGCGGCATTGCGTCACGAAAGTGTGGACTTGGAGGAAGATCGCGAGGGCTTAGGGTTTCCAATAAGGGCCAAGAAAGACACTTAGATAAAATCGTCGGCAAATGACCTACATATTTGGAAGGCCATGTTTGTTTTTCTACTTGATTTGTGTGTGTGTGTGTGTTTTTAAAAAATTAGATTTCACTATTGTATTTTGCTCAGGTTATTTACTTTATAGAGTAGATCATTATTTAGGTTGGTAGGTCATTATTTAATTTTCATTCATTCATATGAGGGCAATATTGCCCTGGATTCTGACAAAGAGGGGCAACTCGAAACCGGGCAACTGAGTTTGAGATTGTTCTCCTTTTGACAGATGAATTTGATGTTTTTTATGGAAATGCCAGGTGGTTTTAAGAAATGTTTAAGGATAAACCTTCTAGTCAGAAACTTAATTTCCTCAGGCAATTGGATTTAAGTTGCAGTAATCTTAGACGCATGTCTTCAAAATTCATGCTGTCATAATGCTACGAAAAAGTCAAAGTCATTTAGGGAGCACTAGTTTTATTGCCACTTTGACTGACAATTTAACAAAAATAGCATTTTAAAGTGAAATGTAGTTAAAGCTAAAGTTTTCTCAGTGTTAAAATACTTTAAGAGTGCAAGCTTTTTAAAACCTCTTTTCGTTTGAGTGTTCTTTTATGTTCTGGCTCAACCAGTGGCTTGAGTTTAAAATGATACTACCAGCGAATAATTATGCCATCACCTGAAATCTCACCAGCAGATATTCGTGCAGGAGAGAGTAACCACAACTCTGTTTGTTTATTGTCTCTTCCAGGATTCACCCTAGTCTGCTCCAGGCTTCGGCTTGGAGGTCCCAACCGCCACCATTGATCCCAACAGCTGGAGTGGCAGTGAAAGCTCTGCCGAGGATATTGAGAGGATGAGCGACTCAGCCGACAAGCCCATTGACAATGACGCTGAGGGGGTGTGGAGCCCTGACATAGAGCAGAGCTTCCAGGAGGCACTGGCCATCTACCCGCCCTGTGGACGCCGCAAAATTATCCTCTCGGATGAAGGCAAGATGTATGGTAAGAACACGGTGCTTCTTCCAAACTATACCGTACAGGATACGGCCAAAAACAATCTCTCTGTTTCTTCAGAAAACCAATCAACAGTTGACAGAAAAATGCAAGGTGTCGATTTTGGCGTGGCTCAGTTGACAAATTATAATGTAGCAAACAATAACACCTTGTTCTTACCAGTTGTATGTGTTAAATCTCTTCAATAGTCATTTAGGATCACTTGGTTCCAATTTCCCCAGCCATGGTGAAATCTAGTCAGTCAAAAATCATGCTCAGTGGCTGTATATTAAATCAACAGGAAATGAAAATTATCATACTTTTGTGATTCATGTTCCTGGTCTTGTTGGCCGCAATTCAGGTCATTCCAAAGGAAAATCTGTTGGGATGCATGATACATAACACATACAATGAGAAGCACTTGTAAACAAAAGATAAGCTCCCTGCTGTCAAAATAAAAGTTGAATGGTTTAGTGTTTGAAAATGAATTAAGACATCTTTAAGTATTAGTATTTTAATTATATTATATATATATTATTATTATTTCTTTTTTTACAGTGACATATTACAATAGTAATTTTTATATTATTATTATTATTTTTATAGCAATATTGATATATTATCAAACATTTTTGGCCAAATTGTACCCTACAAACTAGCACAACAAAACTGTTTTTTAAATTGCAATCTAAATTTTTATCAGAAAAATTGCAATTAGACCCCCCTCCCCCCAAAAATAAAATAAATAAATAAATACAATACAATATAATAACTTTTTTTTTTTTAAATAAGTGTTTACATGTTTTTTTTTGTGTTTTTTTGACAAAATAGTGTCACATTCTAACAAAGTCACAATTTATTAATCATTGGCTTATCGGTAGTGGACAAAATGTTATTGATGCATGCTATAGTTTTACATGCAACTTGCTTTTTGTTTTCTGAAACCACTTTCCTTTTTTTTTAATTGACGTCACCAGGGGCGTCACTAGGATTTTCATTTTAGGGGGGCTAAGCCCCCAATATGACTTTTTTTTTAAATTATAAAAAAAGGTAACACTTTAGTTTAGGATCTAAAGCTCACTATTAACCATTTTCATTACCATGCAAAGGCACGGTTTTATAACAACTGTGGTCCCAAATGTGAGGTAGGGCAAGTAGGGGCGTTCGGGGTCTCCCCGAGAAAATTTTGGTTTCTCTGATCTACATATGTGCATTTTAAGATGTTCTGAAGGCCAAAAAACTTGGATAGTGGGCAGCTGATTATTTTTCTCTCCTCATCAGCATCACACTCTTTTTCTCTTTGTTTTTATCTTGCCCAGCTGAGCTTTGACTGATATAGGCTTTTCATTTTTGTCTATCAGTGAAGAAAGTAAACATAGGGTCAACTGATAGGTTGATTTTGCCTATGATTCATTTTCTCAGACGCGTTTATTTACTGAAAGTTACTAAAGGTAATTAAGTTTATTAAATGCATTCACAATATGTAGGCTACACATTTATTATTGATCTTATGCCTAATACAGGGCCGTAGACAGGGCTTTAGTCACAGAGGTCCTAAATTTGAGGTTGGTAGGGGGTTCAAATTTTTTATTTCTCTGATATGTGCATTTCAAGACATTTGAAGACCAAAAAAAAAGGATAAGAATTAGCTTTAAAACCATGTCAGTGGGCAGTAGATTATTTGTCAATACCTGCTCTCTCCTCATCCCCATCACTCTTTCTTTTTTTCTCAGTCTCTTCATCCCTTTCTTTTCCCCTCCTAAAGCTGAGCTTTTTTAATTTACTAAAGGCTACAATTTGTATTATATTCTCAATATGTACACATTCATTATTAATCTTGTGCCTAACATGATGAAAACGGCTTTGTTAATGTTTCTTGTTAACTAATTATTACATTACATGTCACGTTACATAGGCCTATTTTCAGTTCAAAATGGCGAAATTAGACAAAACGATATTAGTTTGCCTGATTATTTTTTGTCATTCGTTTAACATTTATGACCTAAAAAAAGTAAAATATGAAATGTTAAGTTTAGCTACTTACATCTTATCTCGCACTTGACCGTACACGTCGAGTCGCACTGTTAAAATTCGCGCTCAGCAGCGTCTGTGAACATAAAGCCTGCCTACTTTGATTTGATTGGTCATCTCAAATATTCTGACATTGACGAGCAGTGACAGACCAATGAGGCTCAGATGAACACACACATGAACACACACACCCTGTCCTCTGTTTCTGACGTGCTCTCTGCTCGGCGCGCTGCGGATTGAAGATGAAGAACGCGCTGAACCTGATTATAACAAGATTGAAGCGAGCACGCATTTGTGTAGCCTTCATTAATCTCACATTTTTAGGGGGGCTAGGCAGAAGTTTAGGGGGGCTGAAGCCCCCCTAAAAAGGGCCTAGCAACGCCCCTGGACGTCACTAGGCCCTCGTATTTTTCATATTTCAGCACTATTCAAGATCCAGATTTTTTTTCTGATTGAATATGCTGTTTCACTTAACATTATAGGAGTAATATGGATTGCGAACAGAACACCGTTTTCCCATTGAAATATATTTGACTTTTTCTGTGGACAGGGAAATGACTTGTTGCTGGAAACTTGTCACTTTGCATCTGGTTAAGACACAGTGTAAATGTCACATGACAAGGTAACAACCCGAATCCCTTACGATGTAGCCTCAACACTCAGGCTGCTTGGATTGGTCCCAGAGGTGATCGCTGGAGAAGTAAGAAGTGAAACTGAGGGCTCTGAGGAATTGCACGAGGGTGGAGAAGATGAGGATAATTGTCAATCAGGAATCTCTGAAGTCTTGGCGGGCCTCTGCAGCAGGCTTCCCATTCGTTGGGTTGTTGTTGAGTAGTGGGAGTGTAAGTAAAGCAGCATGAACTATTAGTCAGGAGCAGATGGTACTGCGGCTGTCACCAGCTGTGCCACCCCCTCCTCCTCTTCCTCTCCTCTCCTTCTCCTGCCGTCCTCCCCCTTTCCTCCATTCCTGGCTGGGTGATGTCATGGAAAGAGGGAATATTTTCTTTCTGCGGCGTTGGAGTCCCTCACAGCTTGTCAGTGTCAAGTGAAAGCAGAAGGCCCTCGGGGCTTTCGTTTGCAGCTGTCATGTGACCCCTCCGGCCAAATGAAATGTAAAGTTTAGGAGTGGCAGCAAAGCCTCTCAGCTGCCACTACCAAAAAGTGTTTTGGGCCACCCTGCACACCCTCTGCTCTCAAACTCACTTTCATTCACTCCCTCCGTTAAGAGTTAAAGCAAGGAAATAGGTTTGGCTGACCAGTTTTAAATGACCAAGTCCATTCACTACTGCTCAGACTGATTTAAAGAGAGTTTATTTTTTTTCCGGATTTGTTTATTATGTTATATAAGTCAATGCAAAAACAACAAATTAAAGCCAGATTATGTAATTAAATTACAATAAATTTTGCACCAAATGTTTTACACTACCATTTAAAAGTTTGGAATCTTTTAAGATTTAAGATTTCGTTATGTTTTCGAATGATGTCTCGATCACACTTAAGATTACGGTCCAATTAGCTATTAACTGTGACTGTTATTGCTTATTAATATTTTAAAAGGGTAGCTGTTACATATAGGTATTGGGTAGACATTAATTTGTGCTTTATAAGTACTAATAGATAGCCAATATCCTAGTAATATGCATGCTAATAAGCAACTAGTTAATAGTGAGAATTGGACCCTAAACTAAAGTGTTACCGAAGTCTCTTTTGCTCACAGAAGATGCTAATTTATCTGATGAACAATACAGAAAAAACTGTAATATTTTGAAATATGATTACAATTTTAAAGAAACAGTTTCTTATGTAATATATTTTAAAATGTTATTATTCATGTGATCAAAGCTGAATTTTCAGCATCATTACTTCAGTATTCAATGTCACAGGATCATTCAGAAATTATTCTAATATGCTGATTTGGTACCTCTCTTGATACATTTCTAATTATCAATGTTGAAAATAGTTTTTGCTGCTTACTATTTGGAATACCGTGAACACCATCATGTGACACTGAAGACTGGAACAATGGCTGCTGATATTCAGCTTTGCCATCTGAGGAATAAATTGCATTTTAAAATATATATTGAAATAGAAAACAACAGTTATTTTAAATTGTAATATTTTAAAATTGATCAGATAAATGCATCATTGGAGATAAAAAAAATCCCAAACTTTTGAATGGTAGAGTGTACTTGCAACATTTTGAAGTATGTATAAAGTAAATATATATATATAAAGTTGTTTTGCATTAGCTGATTTGTCGCTTGTTTTTAGCATAAACCATATTAATAAAATGTATTGTTTTTTTTCAAGGTTATTGCTCAAAAAAGTTGATGAAACCGCAAAATACCACTGTATACTGTACCATATTCAAGACAGTTCTTTCAAAAGAAATCTTGACAAACAATTTTGCTTCTGCTTATTGTTGTTAAATATAGGTATAATTTTTACTAGAAAAAATATACTGATTAACAGGAGTTTTTCAGTCAGGAAGAGAATTTTATAGTGAGTGAAACAATGCTGAATAATGAAACGGTGCTGAATTTTCTATTACAGTTTCTTGTACAGAGGAAGTAGCATGCGAGTCATTATAGATCCAACAGGAAATGATATCAAGAAAAAAAATCACCTGACCACCACGTAAGCAGTGGAGAGCTGGTGTGCAGTGCTGGGGTTGCTGACCTGTCTGAGAGTGCAGGGATTGACTAGAGGTCAGCTTTAGCAGCTGTTCAGGGTGTCTGGTTTCATGTTTACTCAACAGCGATGTCCATCATAGCCTCAGGAGTAATGTTTCACAGTCCTCCAGACCACAGGGAGAGACAACAGGGAAGCAGCACACAGTCACGGGTCGCATTGTTACACGTGTTACAAGCAGATGATCACATACTGTAGATGAATTAGATTTGTACACAAATCCCTGCCAACAAAGTTTTGACTTGATGCTTTAAAAGCATATTGATTCAGTTACTCCTTAAATGAAG